CATCTGAAGGGCCGTCAAACGTCTAGATTTACTTAAGCCGCCAAATGCGACGAACCAACCCAACGGGGAACGTGAAAGTGGATTTAAAGATTGGAAATTGCGATATGAGCTTAAGCTGGTGACTGACGATTTTTGCCTATTTAGGGCCGATTATCCTCATGTCAACAGTGAGGCGATTAATTTGCATCTAACTAACCGAGCACAATGAAACATGAAACATTCTTAGTATGAGGACAGAATCGAGACATCCATCGCTATGCGAGGACACGTTCCTGTCGTTCGATCTTCTGAGGACCCAAAATCCTTATCATTTACTGTGTATAAGGCAAATATTTTTTTTTAATTCGCAAACCATTCACAAATCAGAGTCATCAATCAGAGTGGCAAAAAATCGCTTAGGCAAAGTGTCACTCTGCCTTGAAGATGCTGCGAATAGGGCCAAGATTCAAACAGTGACTGGCATGAAATCGCCCATTGTAGGCACGCAAAAATCGCCAATTTGTATTCAATTGGGAAACCGTATCGAGCACCATTAGGGCCCATTCAAATTGTACTCCTGGTTCCGCTTTGGATTCATTTAGAGATAAATGAGTGATTCTGTGCACCATCTTMAAATCATTGACCSAGTTTGAAAAATAGCAGTACATTTTACTAATGAAGTTTGATGAATTAGATGAGCTTTCGATAWTTTTKTTCTGGCGATTTAACAGCATTTTGAAAATAATGAAGAGWCWTTTCATAATTTTCGGGRAAATGATGGTTATTTTCTWTGAAACTCCAAGATAATTYTTAATGGAAATCGGAGCGAAACAAAATGGCGCAACATCCAAACTAGRACAAGTAACCATTTGCAATTTACAYTCAGTAAAGAGGAAAGTTTGRGCTWAAAGCACAAAAAATTTCATTGAAATCGAGGTATGGGCTGAGTTTTCAAAAGCCCTTAAATATCAGAGGCAATTCAAGAGCAGCGGAGCTAAACAAAATGGCGCAACATCCAAACTAGAGCAAGTAACCATTTGCAATTTACACTCAGTAAAGAGGAAAGTTTGAGCATCAAACTGAGAAAAGCTTAAGTAATTCAAGCGTCGGCTGATTATCCATATCAACGGAAATTTGAGGCTATTTCTAATGAGCAGCGGGATGAACAAGAACACCCAACTCCCAAAGTAATGCCAGTTTCAACGTGAGTTTTTGCGATCAGAAAAGGGATGGCAGTTCTGGAAAATGTCAGTGCCATTCTAGAGCCGACTAATTTTGCAAACGCCTCTAAATAAGAGCGGAAATTTAAAAGGTTGCCTTGTTTAGCGGCGTTAAAAAGTCATAAAACTTCCAAAGTAGCAACTTGAAAATTTTACAAAATTCAGTGGAAGGTTTGGACGTAAAACGGAGAAAACTTCATTGCAATTCCTTTATTGAATAGTTTTTCACTGGCTCTTAAGCTTGCAGGAATCGGAGACAACTTCATTGCAATCGAGTATTTTCAAACCGTAGAACTAGCAGCAAATTAGGCAACTTTCGTAGAGTAGCACAAGAGGTCAATGACGATTTAAGAGTATTTTGATTGGAACATTTGGAAAAGTTGGTTTGTAAATGGGAATTCCGATGAATAAATCCAAAATTCATAAAAAATCAATCACGTCGATCGAATGATTGATTCAGCTGATCCACTTTGGCTCACATTCAATGATTTCATGCAAGTCATCGGGGTTTTGGCACGAAACCGCACATTTGTAAGAAATGCCCTTAAAAATACGGTTTAAAAGTCGTTTTTGTGAAGGAGGCAGCCAAAACATTAACCGGCGTTTTTTTCGCTCCATCCGTTTGACACTTTTTCCCCGAAAAATGAGCGATGATCGTCTTTATGGCCGGCTGATTGTGCCTGGCAGTTTGTATTTACGCCCGCAGATCAAAGCAGATGGCAAAAATACAAATCATTGCCAATCATCATAAGCGCCAAAGATGCGGAGGACGTCGTCGTCGTCCATCCTAATGTATTTTTTAAAGCCTCAAGAGGGTGAAACGATTTATATGAAGTGCTCAGCCTCGAACGTTTTGACAAGAAAAGTACGGGGTTTTTTGCCGCTAAAACGCCGGATAAGTCACATGTGGTCTATTCAATCACATAATGGTAAAGAATAACCGTAAGTAGCCCTATGCGAGGACCCACCTGCCCTTACTGACCACTGCTCCCGGTTCCACTACACGATGTTGAAAAACTGCACAAAAACTAAATCGCGTTAAAAAGATCGACCGTTTTTTCTAAAGATTTCGCTATTTATGTTGGTTATGGTATATTAAGGGCACGTTTCCTAATGAATGAGCCCTTGAGATCCTCTGGTCTAGTCAACGCCGTGCGGTCATTTGAGCGGCTTTCAGTTGCAAATTTTTGAATTGAATAAATCTAGGCACAGGAAACATGCATTTTTGCTTGCAGGAGCTGCATAAGAAGAAAAGTGCGTTTTATAACAGCAAAGGGCTTAATTGCAGAAGTCCTTAGAATTGACTTTTGTGGAATTTTCCAGGAAATATTGAAGTTTGCTCGAAATTTTGCTCTCAATTCACTTTTTCAAACATCAATGGTTCAAAATGTTGAAAGACCAGAGTTTTACTTCTGACATGAAAATAATAGACGCAGTTCTATATGGAGTACAAGTTTCATAAAAAAGAAAAGACTAGGAGTTGGACCTTATTAGGGAAGATAGAAGTTTGTAGGTATTTTGCGCTAAAACCACTTTTTCAAAATGCAATGATTCAAGATCTACAAAAGCCGAATTTTCACTCTCAATATCAAAAGGAAGAGCCAACTCTGTTCTGCATTAAGCAAAACTTTTATAAGGAAAGTCCGTTTAGTTGATTCCTAGAGAATTTTATAAAAACATGAAGCTCGGAGGTTAAACTCGCGAAACGATGGATGTTTTTTAAAAATTTTTATATATCGACTAAAAGAACTTATTCAACCAAAAGTGTTCCTGATATAGAACAGAATGGCTTCTTTGCTTTGATGTTAAAGGCAAATATCTCGCTTTTCGAGCTTTACCCCATTAAATTGTGAGAAAATTAATTTAGTGTGAAAAACCTACAAACTTCTATATTTTTTGGAAAGTTCAGCAAAAGTCATCCGAAAGGACTTTTCTGGTGAAACTTTTGCCGATATAGATTAAAGTTCTCTCTTCCTTTTACAGTGAAATAGGTCGCTTTTTTCAATTCCAAAGCATGCAATTTTGAACATTGCAACATTCTATATATTTTTATATATTCGCCAGGAATCAACCAAACGGACTTTTAATTTCAAATTTTTACATGACGTAGAACGGACTCTTATCTTTCTTTTGAGCTAAAAAGTAAATATCGCCCAGTTTTCATGTCCATCTATTGAATTGCGAAAAAAGTATTTATTTCCAAATAGGAACAACTTTTCATATTTTTCCTAAAATTCCGCAAAAATCAACTGAAAGAATTTTTTTGTAGAACTACTTCCTGACATAAACCAGAGTTTACTGTAGCTTTTTTGGATTTTTAGGCATTGAATTTTAAACAAGTGAATTTAGCGTAAAATAGCACCAAATTTCTACATTTTTGGAAAATTCGTAATAACTCAACCGAAAGTGAATTTCTTGTCAAATTTCTTCAGATTATAGAACAAAGTTCTCCCTTTCTTCTGCACTAACAACCAATTTTGTCACTTTTTGAATTAAATTTAATTTCGAATTTTGAAAAAATGAAGTTACCATAAAATATCTGTAAACTTTTATACATTTTCAAAAATTAGTCAGAAATTAACCAAAAGGACTTTTAATACCAAACTTCTGCCTGATAGAGAACGGAGTTTTATCTTTCTTTTGATATAAAAGGCAAATATTGACCGTTTTTATATTTTGAGACATTCAATTTTGAAAAGACGAATTTATTGTCAAATAGCAACAAATTTGCATATTTTTCCTAAAATGCTGCCAAAACCAACTGAACATTTTTTTAGTAGAACTAGTTCCTGATATAGACCGGAGTTTACTGTTTCTTTCGATGTTAAAGCCAAATATGTAGCTTTTTTGGATAATGAGCCATGGAATTTTAAACAAGTGAATTTATAGCAAAATAGCATGAAATTTTTACATTTTTTGAAAAATTAGTAAAAATTCAGCCAAAGTTACTTTACCTACGAAATTTATTCCTCATATAGAACACGCTTTTCTCTTTGGTTTGAACTAAAAGCCAAGTATGTGGTTTTTTGAATTTCAAACCTTAGAACTTTCAAAAATTTAATTTATCATAAAATACCGGCAAAATTCTCGACAGTTTCAGAAATTTGCCAGAAATTGACTAAAAGAACTTTTCATATGAACCTTCTACCTGATATAGAACGCACTTTTATCTTTTTTTCGGTGTAACAAGCAAATATTGACCGCTTTTGTATTTTGAACCATTGAATTGTGTTGCCAAATAGGAACAAATTTTGTTGTTCAGAAAATTCCGCAAAAATCAACCGAGAGGAGTTTTCCAGTGAAACTTCGTTCTAACACAGAACATCCCTTTCTTGTTTTGATGTGAAAACCAAATATGGGGCAGTTTTAGACTTTGAGCCCTGGAATTTCGAAAAAGTGAATTTAGCGTAAAATTCCTACAAAACTCTGTATTTTGGAATATTTCTCAAAAATCAACTAAGAGGACTTTTCTGATGAAACTTAGGCCAAGTGTTAAACGGATTTTTCTGTTTCTTTTCCTGCAAGAGCCAAATTTCTCCTGTTTTGGATTCATGAGCCATCAAATTTTGAAAATGTGAAATTAGCGGAAAATAACTTCAAGCTTTTATATTTTTTCGAAAATGTGCCAAAAATAAAATTTCTGGTGCAACTCCTTCCTGGCATAGAACGGAATTATCTCTTTCTGTTAATATTAAAAGCAAATATGTGGCTTTTTTCGATTTTGAGCACGATGCACTTTTTTGATGGTTCGAGTTATTAAACAGCAGCTTTCACTGAATAATAATAATCTCCTCATTATAGATAAATAGAATAAATTCGATTATGGCCGTCACGAGTTTGGTTTCCCGATCAAACTCTCAGTCAAAATACATCATTTCAACGAAATCCCATAATAGCACGCGATTCGAACAACCATCAGGGGTGTTTTTTGACCCTCACCATCAAGGGTTCGGGCCAAGATGGGAATAATGAATGAAACTATCGTGAGCCGGAAACCGAGGGGATCAACGGAAAGTATCAGGTTTGCATTTTTTTCCTTCATTTGGTACACGAGGTTTTTTCATGCGATTTTAAGCGCGTGTGCCCTGGTCGAGGAGGGTGTTTTTTACGATTTTAGGGTGTTTTTTTCACGTTCACTGCAAACAAGTGCTGTACAGGTGCATGTTGGCTCCTGGAGAGATTTAGTTCTACGAAAATCATCCAGTGACAGTGACCTTGAATGCACAAAAAATTAATGATGCCAACTTATGAACGCACAACAGAGTTAACTGTTCATTGCCGGATTGAATAAGCCCCAGACAGCCGAAGAATACGCATTTTTGCCGATGCACTACCGAGAGATTGACATGGGATAACAGTTGCATAGGGATTTGGCATGGGTATAATAAGCGTTAAGAAGGATTTTTTCATGGAAATTTGCGAAAAAGTGTAGGTAGCCAAACTGCAGGGATCACCCTTTTCCATTAATCATGCGATTCACTGCAGATTTTCAGCAAAGTGTCTTGGGCCTATTGTTACCGGAAATTGTTAAGCTTCTTGACCTTGGCCCATCAAAAGAAATATCTGGTTTTAAATGCCAAAATCTTTCTAATTTACTGCCGCCGTTTGCTTTATGCCCTACACAACCGTACCAAACGAGTTTCAGTCGGGGGTCTTCTCAAAATTCGCAAATATCAAGGCGCGTGTTCAACCCCAACTGTTCCATTCATTTGCATACTGACCCTCAAAGCGCGGCTTTTTCGACCCTCGTCTTTTTTCTCGAAAAAGTACAAAAACCCCATTGGCGTGTGCGGCCATTGCCCGAATGGGGCCTTTTTTTAGGGGAATATTGCATAATGCGTGCGTGTGTTGAATTATTTGCCTGCAGTTGAGGGCTTTTGAAAAACAACCCTTGGGAGAGCGTTCCGAAAAAAATCATTCGAGAGAAGTGGTCTAAAGATAGTCAAAAGCAACGAGTTTCTAACCCGAAATTTGCCACTTTATTTTTATTAAAATCGCTGTTGATGGGCGAAGCACTGAGGGATTGAAGCGTGCAATTTTACAGTTGAAACTAATGGATTTTCCGGGTTTTTGGGCCGTCGTTCGGTAGAATTTCTTCCTGACGTTTCTTACATTCGTACAGCGTTCAAGCAAACCAGTTCTGAAGATGCAAGCCACTCGTGCTTGCGAAACGTCAGGAAGAAATTCTACCGAACGACGGCCTAAAAACCGGAAAAACCTAGTAGTTTCAAGGAATGGCCTCGAAAATCTATTTCTTTTGATAATTTTCCAGTTGTATCATCAGTATTCTATTTTGGGCCAAAACTCCACTAAATAGTGTGACAAACCTGGAAACCTTTATATTTTGTGAAATATTGTCATAAATCGACTAACAATGTTTTTCCTATTTTTTTAAATTTGAAAAACCCGCAAACTTCCATATTTTTTTCGAAAATTTGCCAGAAATCCACTAAAACCGTGATGTTTCAGATACAGAATAATGCTGCCTCTTTCTTTTGATGCTGATGATTGATTCCAAGTCGTGTTTCTCGGCTTTTAAGCCCTGTTTTCTTAGCAAAGTTCTAAAAAGGCCACCTGAGTGGAAAAACCCCCATTATCCAACTCATTTAATACTCTTAACCACTCTCTGATTAGACTTATGGGGAATTATTTGGAAAAAACATTCATCTTTCCGCCCATTATTCGCTCAAATACCCACATCTAGCCATCAAAACCACCCGGAATTGAACAATAAAACTTCCACCCTGTAGAAATTCCTTTAGTACAGCACGTGATAGACCGGAGGGGTGTTTTTTACCCCACATAACCAAGTGGGAAGGAATGAATAAATGCATCGTCAGCCGGAAACAGGGGGAATATGCGGCAAAGTATCAAGTTTGGGATGATTTTTGCGCTGGATCGATTGGGTTTTTTTGGTTGGCGTGTGCGCACCCTATAATGACAAGGGCACTTTTTTAATGCGAAGGGAGGCGTTTTTTTCGGATAACAAGCGCTACAGGTGTGGATTAGCAAGTGGAAAAAATGGCAAAAAATGCGTTCGTTTAGGGGGCTTTTAAAGCTTAATTGACATATTTGCCGCAATAATTCATTGCAAAAATAACGTTTTTTTTGCGTAAATTATCGGTGATCGCATTTATTCGCAAAAACCCGTTTTCAAGCCTTGAACTGCATTCCCATAGAATCACTTTAATGTAGGTATTTGCATCAGATTGATAATTAGGTGTGTAAGTTATAATTATTTTTAAGGGAAAAATTTTGTTTTTATGGGAAGAAGCAATGAAGAACTTTGAAGAGCAAACTCCCAGGAAATGAAGCAAATTCATTGCTTTAGAGCAGAAGAAGTAACGTCCAAAGATAAGGAAGAAAGCACTAACTAACAATCAACAATATTACATTAAAGACAACCAATAAACTATAAATATTTTCATAAAAATTCGTTCTAAGGTTCAAGTTACAATAGTTTAGTGACCAAAAATCGAAGTGAATTAAATGGTTAACAGAAAAGAAAAAATACTTTAAAAAAGTTTTTGGCCCATGAGGGGATCGAACCCGCGACCTTCGCGTTATTAGCACGACGCTCTAACCAACTGAGCTAATGGGCCCGATGCTTATTTGGATCCACAGGGTTACTTAACGCTCTAATTTGAGATGTAAGCAAAATTCAATAAAAAATTTAAAAAACTTAGAAAGAAAAGAATCAGCTATTGACCTTTTAAAATACACTCTGTATAGCATTTACAGGCAAATAAAAAGTTTGAATAATTTTAGGTTAGAAGATTGAATTTGACATCGCGAGACAAGACAACGTCGCGTTGTCATCGAATGTCATCAAAAATGACAAAAATATAACCTACATTCACACGAAAACACAGTCTGTACAAGTAAGTGAATTAAGCGTCCTGAAATCGTCCAGACAATTTGCACTAAAATGTCCAAAGACACGCACATAGACCGCGATTTGGATTTATCGAACGCGAATCGCGGCGTGTGGTTGGTTAAAGTGCCCAAGTATGTGGCAAACCGATGGGAAAAGGCCCCCAACGAAATGGAGGTGGGCAAACTGAAGATTACCAAGTAGGTTACCCGGCAGCGAAGGGCTGTGAGGCTTCAGCACGGCCGCAACCGTTCAGACTCCTCTTTAACTTCCACTTGATTGCAGGCAGCAGGGCCAGAAGCCCCAAGTGTCCCTGACACTGTCCCCGGCCATTTTAAACCTCAACGAGCCTGGAGAGGAGAGTATCCCGAAGGATCATCGCCTGGATGTGTCCACTGTGACCCAACAAACGCTCGGAGTATTCTCCCATGTGATACGTAAGTTGGAGCATATAAATGGTTGTGGGAAAGCGAATTTCAAAAGTGTGTAAGTGTTTTTAGAGAAAATTATGGCGCATCCAAGACCGAAGCGTGTTCTGTAAGGTAAAACGGCTTTTCAATTAAATAAAACTGGTTGCAGCTGAAAAATCCGACTCAGTGGTGCCTGAGACGGAAAAGCTGCACATGGAGGGCAAAATCGTGCAGAAACTAGAATGCAGACCATACGCAGACACGTGCTACATGAAACTGAAGCTGGAGTCGATCCGGAAGGCTTCGCTGCCCACTAGGAAGGTGAAACAGCTGGACAGAGTGGTGCATAGCTACAAGCCCGTTTCTGACCACAAAAACAACGTAAGTTTCTCCAAAGATTACTCAAGGAAAGCTAAAGGGGCCGTTTCCAGATCGAGTATATGGAGCGCAAAAAGGCCGAAGGCAAGAAGGCGCGCGATGACAAGGATTCCGTCCTGGAAATGCTGTTCTCGGCCTTTGAGAAACATCAGTACTACAACATAAAGGATCTGGTGAAAATCACGCGGCAGCCAATCACCTATCTAAAGGAAATTCTGAAGGAAGTGTGCAATTACAATCTGAAAAACCCGCACAAGAACATGTGGGAGCTGAAGCCCGAATACCGACACTACAAGCCAACGGAAACCGAAACGAAGAAAGAGGACTCTGATGATGACTAGCGCGAGCGCGAAACTAGGCCTAGATCCGCAACATTGTATGGTGTGAAGACTTATTGTTTTAATTAAACCCAGTACACAATGAAGGATTCTAATGGCTAAAGGTGGAGAGGTGATTGATTTATAAAGCCTGCGCTACACGGTGAGTCAAAGATATCAAGCAAAAGAGCGACTTAAAAAAAATCTGTATCTGGTGGATGAAATCAACTCATTGATTGTGGGTTGACGCACTAATAATTTATTCACAATTTCGTGCTCCTTGCAAAATGTAGCATCCATAGTTTTTGCAAAAAAAATGTTTCTTGCTAATTAACGATGTGAGACAGCGTAAGACAGTTGAAATCATCCCTGGCTGAGATTTTTTATAATGCCGACGATTATTGAAAGTTGATTAGTGAAAACAACGTTGAAACCACAAAAGACGGAAATGGATTTTGATGATTACCAGGAAATGCGAATAAAATTCAACCGTAAAATGTCTGTGTAATTCAAAGCAACAGCCGAGCCCCAAAGGAACCGAATAAAATTCACTTGTGCGCCGATCGCAGCGTTTTCAGGATCCCATTCAGGATATCAATCGATTCCAGATGCAGCGGATTGTTCTTATCGAGCTGCTGTTGCAAGTTGCTGATGGCCAACATGAACATCTTGAACTCGTGGATGTTTTCCTGCAGCCAAACGCGCGGCAGGATCTGGCTAATCAGGCGCATCTTCTGGCCGGCGTCGGTCAACGAGCAAAACTTCAACGCACTCAACAGGTAGCGATTGAGCAGAGCGTTGAGCGCCAGGTCTTTGAGTTTGGCCTCGTTGATGATGCCCTGCCAGCTGGTGATGTTTTTGAGCAGCTTCAAGCCGCAGGCGAACTGCCGTTGAAAGAACTGGTTCTTGCTGTCGGAGATCTTGGGAGTGACTGGGATAAACACGTCGTGGTCGAGCGCTAGTTTCATCTTGTGCAAGACGGCGTTGAAGAGATTGACCAGGTTTTTGCTGTCCGGCGATAAAGTGGGGTATTTCCGGATCAGTCGGCCCACACAGCCGACCAGGCGTAAGGTTTGACTGCTGGAAAGCGGGTCCCAACAGCTGTCCACTATATTGGAGAGTTTGGGGACCAGGACTTTGTCCACAATGTTGGGCAGGAGGCACACGTCTGGGTCCTTCGCCAGTCCACCTTCGGTTTCATCGTCATGAAGCCCATACAAGGCCAAGGTTCTGTACCAGTCCATCTTCTCAATCTCTTTGGTTTCAGTGAGAGGGTTCCACAGAATTAGCTTCAGGCGGATTAAGGGGCTGACGACCTTCGGCAGGCAAAGAGACGCGTAGGCCTCGTTGTAAGCCGCAGAATCTTTGCTGCGCCAATGCTCGAACCTTATCAGGATATTCACGATTGAGGAATAGTCTTCGACGACGTCCTCAAAAATCTCTTGCAACTCCTGCTCGATTTCCAGCCTTTCTTTGTCGAAGAACAACATGTCCTGCTGGGACATTTCTTCGTCACTCGACATGCCTTCCACGTGTTTGGCTGTGCCTGGCGCCGCAGAGAGTTCACGAGTTCTTCGGCGACGCGATCGGCGGCCTTCCCTCTCTGCAGCTCTTCGCACTTTCTCCTCGTCCTCTGGACCTTTCTTGACCAGCACCTTCCCAGTGGCTTCATCCGCTTGATCCCGTACGTCTTGTCGACGTCTTTCGATCACAAATTTCGCCATGGCGCCCATCAAGTCCAACGCGCGCTGCTCCAGATTTGCTATCGCCCCGATTTTTTCGTCCAAACACTCCACTAAATCGGTCACGTAGCCGCGCAGTTCCTGATAGAAGCGGAACTTTTCCGCTGCTTCTGGGGCTTTGAGCTTCACGTCCTCAAGCTCCTCGCTGGCTTGCTCGATGTCCTCTTGGATTTTGTGTAATTTTGCTAAATGTTGCTGTTTGGCCTGGCACGCGTCCGCGTAACGCTCCCGTAGTTTCTCGGCTATCATTTCCGGCGTTCTGGGGATGTCCGGATCGATTAGCGGAGGCTGCAGCTGGATGGCTTTGGATTGCGTTTCCTGTTCCGTTTGGTAGTCCATCAGCATTTCTTGGGCGGCAGTCATGGCGGCGCCTGCAGGACAAAACTCTTCCTGAATGGTCCTCTGAATGAGTCGCGCCAACGTACCTGTAACTCCCTTTCTGATTTGTTGATTCTCCCATTCATCCAGCTCATGATCGGAGTCCTGCGCCTGCAGGAACTGCTCACGCCTCCGCTCCTGGTCCCGTTTCGCCAGGTTGATGTCCATGTCGATGCGCTCCTCGTCGCTCTCCTCATTGTCGTCGTCCCTGATCAGGCGCCCTGTTTTCAGAATGGAAATGATCCTCCGTAAATCTTCGGCTGCTCTCCCGGACGTCCTACCTGTGTCCTCTGGCTCTTCTTCTTCGACAGCGATAAAATCGCCCATTTCCCGGGCGCGCTGCCGCTTTTTTCGCGCTGCGTGGATCATCGCAGCGTCGGGAATAGCGCCCGATTCCAGCACTTTCTTCACATTATCCGGCTTGGAAAAGCGATGCACTGTTGCGTCGGATTCGTCGTCTTCGGATGATAAATCATCTTTCCCTAAGCGCGTTGATCAGTTGAGGAGGCCGATGAAAATCCATTGAGGAGGACTTACCAGCGCACAAAGCATCGCGCCCGCTTAGCACCGGAGGCGGAGGAGTGGCAGGCTTTTTGTGGCTCTGATTCACAACCAAAACCAGATCATCAGTCACCACCTCAGTCTTGTCGTCTTTGGGCTTGGGCTCCTCCTTTTCGGGCCGCTCCTTTTTCTTTTTCTCCTTCTCGAACATTCGCATCACCTTTTTGTGGTGCGACGACTTTCTCACCTACAAAACGGCACAACATCAGCTGCATCGAACCCAGGGGCCAAGCCCTAACGGAGTCCTCACTTGAAACACTTCGCCCTCTTCTTCAGTTTCGAAGCTGAGGAGCGTTTGAGTGGGTTTCTTCTCCTTGGACTTTTTCTTCGGCTTTTTCTCTTGCAAGGCGGCCTGATGAAGGTCCGCATCATGCTCTTCGTCGTCCTCATCGTTTTCTGTGAAAACCCGCCGCTGGACGATGTTTTTCTTGGGTTTTCTAAACAGAGACATGATGTTTTGGTTTTGATAAATTTTCCAGGTTATTGTAACAGTCAAATGCAGAATCTGTCAATTCGGCGATGACGTCACATTACTGGGCGGTGGAAACACACCCTCACTTTTTCTCTGATAATTCGTCCGTGCAAATTGTCAGTTATGTGACTTTGACTTAATCTTATTGTTTAAATTAGTAAAGGTAATGTTAATTAATAATTTTGGTGTTAACTTAATTTGGGTGTATGTTTCTCTGGTCTACTTCAGATTTTAGCATAGGTAACCATGCATGACTTAAATTAAATGAACATGAAGCAACACAATTATTTTGATTTAGTAAA